CCATAGATGCATCGTCAATGATAATTCATAATCTGCTGTGTTGCGTTGCGTTGTGTTGTGTTGGCTAAGATTGGTACCTTAATATCCAATCGCCATGGTGATAAAGCACTCTGAAGACGCTATACTAACAGTTTTTGCTCGAAATAATTATAAATCCTTTTGTGTAGTAGCTAAGGCTTTATTGTAGATCGTTGGCCTTTATTGTAAACTATATAGCTCCACTGGACCCTGTTGCCTGAGTTTTTAGTTCCGAAAATTATAGATTTTATAACGTTCGAAAAATACACCCTTTCGATAATTACAGTACGTGTTTGGCCTGGAAGCTTCGACTCACGAATCGTCAGCAAATCACCTTGCGTTTTTTATCGAAAGTGTGCTTGAAAACGTGGAGAAATCACTCAGAAATGCTGCCATAAGATTATGGCGCAAAAATTGTCGCGTAAAAAATGTCGCGAAATTTACATCATTTTTCGTTCCGCAACGGCATTCCGCAATCCACCCCGCAATGTCATTCCGCCTTTTACATTCACTGCATTTCCAGTGTTGTAACGAGTCGAGTCATTGACTCGGACTCTCGAGTCCAAAACGAAAAATGACTCGACTCGAGTCAACAGCCTCAAATGACTCGACTCGGACTCGACTTGCTGATTTTGCCGTAAATGACTCGAGTGAACTCAGCTACAATCTGTAGAGAATAAATTCATCAAAAATATTGTGATTGTATTGCTTGGGAAGAACAATGAGCCCTGTGAACAATGAGAACTTCGAAACTTTATCAGAATATATATGGGATTTGCATAGATTACAGTATATTCCTGACGGGCATGCCTATAATACATTTCTGTTTTTAGAAACAACGCTAGTGCCACAGTTTTTAAAATGGAGTCTCAAAATTTTTTGTACTTATGCTAATTCTGACCGGCTATCTTCATTTTTGGTATTTATGAAGTGCTATATAATTTCAAATTAACTTACAAAGCATGGTTAATTAAAGTCTATTCTTTGTTAATTCTGACTCCAGTTGCAAGTTATGCCAGTTGTATATACGTACACTCGATCAGCAGGCATGATGAGACATCTCATGTGGTTGTACTTAATATTGACTAGAACTGTGATATTGGTACAGCCTATGGCTTCCCAGATACTGTTATTACATGACTAAAGTGATTAGCTTAAAACATAGATTTGATTACTAATTTCAAACTGCAAGCTAAGGTAGCGAACCATTACAAAAAGCGTGAGGTGGACCATTCTCGTCCCCAGAGCCATTTTCACTCGGTCACTCGTTGAAAAGTAGGCTGTGGGTTAGGCGACTAAAGCGAGAGATCTGATTGGCTTCTCAGAGAAATCCTATTTCGCAGAAGTTGAGCAGTTTTAGCTACGAAAAATTATTCTATCAACATATGTCCACGCAAATACTTTGTTTCTTCGTAACACTTTGAAAATTGTTACGGGTGCTAAAGTGTCCCAATTCAAGACCATGCGCTTTAGAAACTATTGCAAGTTTACTTGCACTTCCGGTTCCGTATGTTCCAGTGCCTAGGGAGGACGCGCGCGGCCGAGAGGCCCTGGGGACAAGGATGTGGGTGGACTTGATCAAATTCCCTGACTCAAGTTAAGTCTAGCTGTTGACTCGACTCGACTTAAACCGATGACTCGACTTGACTCGAGTGACACTGCTGACTCGACTCGAGTGAAGCCACTGACTCGACTCGATCAGAAACTGAAATGACTCGACTCGTGACTCGACCTTTGAGTGACTAGACTCGGCTCGTGACTCGATCTATAGGTGACTCGTTACAACACTGCGCATTTCTCCACATGTTAGCTATCATTCTTAATTGTTAATCGACGTCACTCAAATATTTTTATTTTTTCTTCCTATCCAAATTCATGTTTTTCCGACAACCCCCACCTCCCCACCACCTTTTTGGACTCAAATTCTCGCTCCAGATATATATGGAGCTCATCACTGGGAGCATGACACCCAAACTGCGAAAGGGCATACTCAGAATAGTTGTAAAAGTCCTGAAATTGAGTTTTTGAGCATTATATGAGAATTATATAGATACAAAATAAGCATTCATACAAAGATTTAAGCCCAAAACAAAACCAAATTTGACTCTAAAAAATGCAGGAAATCGCCATTCTGTATTTATAAAATTCAACATTTTAATGATGAGTATGCTTTCGGACCCCATAGCTATTAATAGATATGCATTACGTCATGAGCTCATAACTCCCCCACAGTCTGCTCTCCTTGTTGAGATAGGTAGTTCTAAATTTTTCTTGGGATACCTCCTGATATTTCACTACATTGTATGTATAGAATTATGAATAATATTTAAAGGACATTGGCAATAAAAAATTAGTTTAGTTCTTAAAACTATATATTAAACTCTATCACAGATTGACATGTTTAATTAAATCTTGCTTAGTTTTTAGAATATTTGGACTGAAAAAGTCAGCTGTTCGCCATCTTGGATTATTGAGGATATGTATGTTACGTCAATTAATTTCGGTCTAGATATTTCGAGAACTAAACAAGATATGACAAATCGGTAATAAAGTTTAATATATAATATTAATTAAGAGTTCTGTTGAATGAGACCAACTAATTTTTTATTGCCAATCACCTTTAATTATTTATTTATTGTCCTTTCATCTGGACCAAAGCCAAAGAAAGCCAAAGAAAGCCAAAGGCTTGTGATAACTATAAAGCATAAAGGTTAGGTTTTGGTAGGAGGGAAGCCGTAGGACCTGATAGCATAAGAGAGAACCAACTAAAACTCTACTCTTTCATTAGTTTCAAAGCACGGAGCAATTGCTCAACCTACATAAATACGCGACCCTCGACCTATGGTGGCAAACTTGATTACTCTAAGTCTAGATGTTACTATCACAAGGAAAGTGTTGTCATCATGCTAAAAACTTGTGAATAATATCTCGACCTAACTAAAAGTAAAATTTAAGAAATCTTGAAAGTAAAATATTAAATTATCTGATATTTACAAACTTTTCCTATAAAACACTACAAATGACACACTGTATGTATTAATTTATTCTGTTGTCAAAAAGTTGAGATTAGAAAAAAATGCCTTCTACAATTTTGGTATTTCTTTAGTTATCGATTACAGCATTTGCCAAATGCCATTTGGTATTGGATAAACTCAAGAGGGTCACAATGTGTTTAGCATTTAATTTCCATCATATTGTATGGATCAAGGATTATCCCCGAGCCGGCGGCGCGAAGCGCCGTGCGAGGGTACTAATTCCCCCCGGCTATTTACACCCGGGGTCGGTCACCAACGATGGGTGGTCATCCCACTGAGCTATAATATTACTGGAGGAGGTGCTCCTATCTCTCGTCAGTCAAAAAAGTGTCCGCAAAAACATGGCGGATTTTCACGTTTGCTGACGCCATATGGTTCCTCCGGCTCATGGCAATTACCACTGGCCAACCGCGATCCTAAGCATCCAACAAAGACCTTCGCCCCCCTGTGTTTGCACAAATATTTTATGTTTTCAAGACAAAATCATGCCGTTTTTCTCCACTTGTGGATGCAAAGATTCGCTGTAAAGACTTTAAAAGGAAGAATATTTCTTCTGAAAGGTAAGATTTGTGAAAATTTTAAGTTTTTACCTTTTATTCGACTAATTCTCGATTGGCAAAGTCAGGGGCCGATATGCGTATAAAATCGAGGTATAAATATGTATTTGTCAAACACTTATATTTTATATTTACACCAATATTTCTGGAGCAGACATAAAAAACGTTGTACATGGTTATTTATACATTGTGTACATACATTTTCTTTCTAGTTTCAGGCACTGGCTTTTGTTTTTAGTGCCAGTTTATTAGTTTAAAAAGCATGCTGCTCATGCAATCTGTAGTTTGCTTTGTTTCATAAAGAGCAGTTAGCACTAGATTTATATACAGTATAAACAAGCTGTATTGTATCCTTCACAAATATTATAAACTGCTAGTCTTGCTACTTGCTAGGTTTTGTATCAGCATTTACCAATTGGCTGTGTAATTTAGGCTTTTTTTTGTGGGGTTGTGCACTTTCAGTTCAGCATCGAGCTATCATCGACTTGTGCATACCCAAATTTGCATGATTTATACTTATATCATTCTTGTATTGGCATTACCTTGAATGCTAGTATGGGTCTGTCAACCTGACAACCTCTATGCCTCATAAAAATTTCCAAACAAAAAACCTCCTTCACTCAGAAAATACCTCTGTCATGGGAGTCTTGATTTATGTTTAGCCATATTTATTTAGATCCCTTAGAGGTTAACCCATTGAGTCACATTGCACCCTACTTTATTATTTTACTCTGTCTGATGCCAGACAATTTTACTCATCAAGTAGAGAGTGCTGGAGCTTAGGGGCCGATTACATGGAGCATTTTCAACCCCGGGGTTGAACTCAGCCCTGTTTACCGGGTTGAAATTTCAGCCCTGTCTGTAATACAAAACTCTATCAAAATCAAACGCGCGATTACATGACAAAATGTTCAACCCAGGGCTGAGTTCAACCGCGGGGTTGAAATTTCAACCCTGCTTCAGCTAGCAGGGTTGAAATTTCAACCCCGGGGTTGAACTCAGCCCTGGGTTGAAAATTTTGTCATGTAATCGCTTCAACCCAGGGCTGAAATTATCATGAGTTATTCGAGCATACGTGGTAGTGATTATTTATTACAAGAAAACAAAATAAAGGCTTTTTTACTTCCGGGAATCGATGCCGAGAACGTATAGTATAGCGTTTCAACCCCGGGGTTGAAATCGTCCATGTAATCGCAAAAGATTTCAACCCGGTTAACAGGGCTGAGTTCAACTCCGGGGTTGAAAGTTCTCCATGTAATCGGCCCCTTAATGGGTTAATAACTAGCCTATGTGTATAGTTATGAGTCGCATTGCACCCTGATGCACCCTTTACTCTGTCTAACGCCAGATTATTTTACTCATCAATTGGGGAGAGCGATGGCGCTTAATGGGTTAATTCAGATTTATACAAGATTAGTGGTGCACCAGAGCTAACAGTTCCAATCCAGCCACAGCTGTAACTTGCAATTGCAAAGTAGCGGTGGTGGTCTGAGCTATTACTGGCCAGAACCCACAGTATGCACCCATTGCAATTAATTTTGAAATGTACATGAAACAGTTTCACACCATAGAATAAAACAATCATAAACAAAGTAACTTTATTTCTCATTTCTATTACAGGCATCAAAGTGATATGTAATTATACAAGAACTGAAGCAAAAATGTTCTTCCTGTAACAGATGTATTGTATCATGATAGTTAACATTGATGTATATGATCTTATTTGGGTATAACAATGTGTAGTAATACAGTATCTGTAGTAGTAATCTGTTATCGCTACCAAAAGAAAATTGAAAAGAGATAAACATGCCAAACAGCCAAAGTGATGTCACAGCTCATGGGACTACAAAGTGATAATTATACTAGAATAACTTGATTATACAGTTAGTTCAAACTGATTGGGCCATTCAAAAAAATATCCACACCCCTAATGGAAGAGATGGGAGGTTCAGCTTCCTCCCACTTTTGGACACCCTTAGCTAATACTTTTACTATTATCAGCAGTTGAGTTCTGCCCACTTCAGACAGCACTTCAGACATATGTGGAGTTAGTGTTTATCTTTTCTGGAATGACTCATTGGTGATTGGTAGTTAATAGTTATTCATTGAAGAATTTAAATTAAAATAATACAATTTCAACTGCATCATTGTGGTGGTAAATAATTCTGCAATAAACAAGAATAGATTATATAGGTTACTCTAAAAGAGAAAAAGCATGAAAAATCATATCAATGGAAAATGAGGAATACAAAAGAAATACACTAGGTTTTCAGACGATGCTCGAACTTTAATGTTGGCAAGTTGAGTGACCCCCTTAAAAATACATTGTTTTTTCAGAATTATATTTATCAAGAAACTATTAGAAGTTACAGAAACCATAATCCTATGTGTATGTACACCAAAAGCTAAAAAAATATGAACAAATATAAAGGCCCCAAGCTCTTCAGCTGAAACGTCGAGATTTATTTGTCTTAAGCCGCGTTCACACTAGCGGCCCAGGCCTGGCCTGGACCTGGCCTGGGTCTAGGTGTGAACGGGTTTTACCTGGCCTGAGCCTGGCCTAGGCCTGGCCTAAGTCAAGAAATCCAGGCCAGCAAATGTAGGTGGCCTGGATCTGGCCTTGGCCTGGCCTGGGCCTCAATCATCACTGGTGTGAACGGGTTTTTCCTGAGCCTGGCCTGGGCGAGGCCCCGTTACCATCGCAATATCTGCCCACGATAAAAACTGGTCAGATGATTGTCATACAATTGGAGGGAAAAACATTCAAAACGCGAAATTAAATACTTTAGTGGAACACAAGGACGTTTATATTGACGCCTGATTGCTTTGGCCTGGAGTTGGGCGTCAAGCCAGTGTGAATGCGTCACAATTGGCCCAGGTCAAGTCCAGGCCAGGCCTGGGCCGCTGGTGTGAACACGGCTTTAGTCTTAGCTGGTTGCATCATCCTGCACTAACTAGAACCCCCACCCAAGAACTACAATCGGCATAGTGATTCAAAACTCCTTATTAAGGTACTCCGACAGCAGAATGAGCTTCCTTGAGTACCTCTAGCTTTTGCATATAAAGTTAGTACAAAATATAAAATACTATAAATTCTCTTTGTTATTCCCTCAAAAATATAG